CCCGAGGGGAATAGTTCCTGTCAAGGATTTGATAAAAGAGCTATCCCACTCACAACCAGTGGATAAGCGTTTTATTATACTGATGTATAATTTAATTTCTGAGTTTGAATTTCTTTGGAGTAAGATAATTCTGCAAGAATAATCTGAAATCCCGATGACATCACAATGCTACTGAGCTACTGAAGTCATTATGACATCATCAGTTTAAAGATTTATCGCTGGAAATCAAAATTGGCGGCAACAATTGCATGAAAATTTTCCGAGGGTGGATAGCAAAAAGTATACCCCGGGGTATAGTTTTGCTATGCGGTGACTATAAAGGATAGTTATTTTACCTTCTGAACTTTATATAGGAAACATTTTAACAGAAGTATAATAAATCTAAATGTCAACTTGAAGGCCACTGAAAGTGTTTTTTTTTTTCAGGTATAAGATTTTGCACAAATTCTGTCTTACGTTTAACAACCAAGCTTAATGACAAACGAGATTACTTTAACTTTCTTATCGTCAACTTCCCTTACTTATGCAGCAGTAAACCTTCATTACCTACAGGGCGTATACCTCTCGGTTGATTCGATACACGAGAGCATACTCTACGTATGAACAATTTTTAAAACAAGTCAAGTTATTGACAAACAAGTTGCTGAAAGAAGACTATTAGAAGTTTCATTTAAAGATATCATTTCATAAGTTTTATTGACGATAAAATAGCCTTGTCAGCAAATACAATTTATTATCGAGTAAAATAATTACTGACTTTTGTATACTAATTGTTAGCAATTATATACATACTGAGTTGTGGACAGAATTTTCCACAATTTCCCGATCATGACAAGGAACACACGAAGATTGTGACCGGTCAGCAGTGGATGCTCACTCATCCATGGCACCTGATCCCACCTCTGATGTTTTAAAGATCCGTGTTTGCTCTGCTCCTATTTGGTAGTTTTATGGACTTTGATATTGAATACTGTTCGTTATTTCCATGTCCTTCACTTAGGAAAAAAGTTATGAATATAAATTTATAAAAATTCTTTGGGTTTTGGAGAATAAACATCTGGTTTTAATTATTTATAGAATTTATACTGTAGTAAGGTGCTTCTGAAGTTTTTCCTTTATACATGTAACAGTAAATAGTTTTGGAAAGAAGGAAGGATATGGGTGTAGTAGAGCAATTAGTGAACTGACGTAATATATCTTTATGAGGATTTGTATGAAGTTTAGCAGTCTATACATATAGGTAAAAGTAGATCGAACTTGATTAACTGGAATGTTAAAAGTATATACTGAAATGTGATAAAGAATTTCATTTAGAAAGTAAACGTTACATGTAAGTATAAGTAGGATTTTAGGATTAAGATCGAAGTCAGTTTCTTCTAAAAATACAGTAAAGCAAACAATTAAGCTAGATATCAACAAATAAAATTTCAATCATATGATTTACCGAATTCAAAACTTACGCGTTGAATTTTACAATTTCTATAACAAGATAGATGTTCTACATATTATAAGTGTTGAAGTACATTTATACACATTAGCAGTGACGTATCAAACAATAATAAATGTCATATCGTTAGAAATGTTTTGGTTACTTAATCATCAAACCACCGTTAGACTTATTTATTGACACGCCTACAATAAGTTTGTTTACAAAACATATACATCTGCGGTTGGTTGTTTTGTCCATTATTGGTCAGTTATGTAGATGTTATAGAAGTCCATTACTGGCGCCTATTCACGTACCGTTACCTTAATGTGTCGCACTATTGAATATAAATTGATCCAGAGGACTTAGTCTCTGACTGTTTAACGCAAAATTATTAAAGTATGAAATTCAGTCGGACTATTCTCCCCCTTTTCTTGATAGTTGGGATATTGTTCAGCTTGTTTTTACCTTCAGAGGGTGGGTATGAATAAAGTCTTTATTTAAAATCATTAGAGTCGAATTATAACATAAAATAAAGTAATTGATATTTTTCTCTGGAAAACAATTGAATATGAAATAGAGGACGAAGAATGGACAAAAATTATTCATTATCATAATTCAAAACTTAAATATAACTTAGTCCAGCTATTGCCGAGGACACAGTGTAATAAGAATGAGGGCATAAGTATTCATAACCATAATGTAAAGATAGAGAAAGAAAAAAAATGTAAAATTCTGTTTTTAAGGTCAACGAAGATGGTATGGACGATCACTAGGCTATCGTGGTTATGGCGGCTTTGGTTACGGTCGTGGCTATGGTTACGGTGGTCGTAGTCGCTATGGTTACGGTCGTCGTGGTCGCTTTGGTTTTGGTGGTCGTGATCGTTATGGTTACGGTAGATATGGTCGCTATGGTTACGGGAGGCGTCGTTACGGCTGAGGAAGTCTTCCATTAATTTTCATTTATTTGGGTAACTCTTAAACTAAAAAATCCTGCAAATAGTGCAAAGATATTTCTTGCATAATTACATCATTTTTGATATTTATTATGAACTTTAAATGATTGACTACAATAACCGTTTTTATATACATGAAGATAAAAAATTAAATAATCTTATTTATATCAATTGACACTGTTCACTGCTTTTTCTAGGTTCTGCTCCTTACAGGAACATGCCGTATCAGCATTCTTTTACTAGAATTCTTCTGTATTTTCATTTTGCTTAATGTAATACTACTACTTAATTAAACAATTAAAAACTTTATTTTTGTCTCATTCAACATTTATTGATCTCTAAATTATGCTTTTATTGGGCTGCTATATTTCCAAAATGTATAAAAAAAATTCAGATGAAGAGAACGGTTGAAAAAGGCTTTATTTCCGTCTCTCTGAAGGATGATCGAAATACTAGTATATTGAGATAACGATCAGTATTCAAACTCAAAAGTTCATTAAACAATACAAAACAGGAGAAGAGCAAATATACGACCCTCCAATAAAACATCAATGTTGGGATAAGGTGTCATGGAGGAGTAAACATCGCCTGTCACCGTTCAAGCCTGACGCGTGCTTCCTTTAAACTGGAAGAAAGGGAAAATCAGTGTGCAAACAATTGCCAAACAATGAGTACGAAAAACGTCAGTCAGCATTTGACTCAATGATACATGTGATTTGCTGACAAAGTAATTATATCAACCATTATGATAGAACTTACGAAATGACATCTTTAAACGAGACTGCTGATATATTTTTTATCAACATGTTTCTCAATAATTTACCTCATTTTAGAATTCGTACATACATCGAGCATGCTCTTCTGTATAGAAACAACTGAGAGATATAAACCCATTTTGCAGGTGATGAAAGCAATAAAATATATCAATCAAGTCCAATGCTGATGGTTTAAAGGCCTGTTGTTGCTTTGCTTCTGGTCTGTATTGTTTGATTGGAATAACTATATAGTATTAGTTTTAAAACTTTTTTTAATTCTATATATTTTACTTATTCGATTATAGGCAATTACAGGGCTTTAAATATCAGTTTTTTTTTAATTCTGCCCCTTATATACATGTAAATAGTAAATGAAAATACAAATTGTTTTCTCATGGTCTTGTATACTAGTAAATGCAATATTTCACAACATATCTATAATTGATCAAAACTCAAAACCTTGTTTACCAAATAATTCTAATTAATACATACATATGTATATATATTAATCTAATAAATTCTACAAGATAAACATGAAAGAGCCTGACATGTGTGAAGGCAAATACCGGTATAATAATTATATGTACGTTTGAAACATTTGAAATAAATCACATGCATCACAATGAAAGATTCTTCACTCACACAAATATCATTACAGAGATTATTTTATTTGTTAGTTGATAAAAATATTTTTTTAAATTATGATTTAAAATTATATAGAACATAGGAATTTTATTGTAAGTTTTAAAGATTTGAATCATTAAATTTTAAAACCTAATTTCAACACCTCTTGGCGCCCCATTCGTTCATTGACATGACCCTCTTATCATGCATACAGGAAGTTTAAAAAAGCAGACAAACCGACTGATTTAAAAGTGCAGCTTTAATCAACATACTGAAACAAAATGGCAGCTGACAAGATTCCACCGGAAGCAAGAGATCTCCATAACAAACTAATCACCGATCTTCATGATTTCATTAACTCTCAGGTAGATGCTCACGATTTCGAAAAGGTAAAACATCGCTTAAAGTTGAAATTACCTCCCTACGCAATAATGAACTGCAACAATGTACTGGACATCGTGGAGAAATTACAGAAAAGAGGACTCGTGAAGCCCGGGCATTATGATGATTTCATTAAACTCATTGAATGTATAGACGTTACTTGGGTTGATGAGATCAAAGAAAAAGCTGAGGAGATAAAAAATATAATCACCGAGGCAAACAGACCCCAGGTAGCTGAGATGACAAAGGAAAACGAAAGTAAATACAATATAATGATATAAACCATGTAAACAAAAACAAGAGTTCATACAATTTATTTACTACAAGAATTTATTGTATTTTTGACATATTTAACGACATTCAGGTGATGGAAAATCAAACTGAAAATAAATTAGTACATTTACATATAACTTACTAAATATTTGTTTCTTCAAAGTATTTTATTATTTTTGAGAGCTCTAGATCTTCGTAATCATGAAGTTTTTACTTGAAATGTTCAATAAATTGATGATCTTAGAGTTGGATAGTAAAAAACGAAAATTAGAAGAGAATGACCAAGAACCTCAGATTGAAAGTCAGGATGGACCAACCCAGAAAAAAGGAGCACATTCATCAAGTACGTAGACTTGAAATCTCATAATAAAAAAATGTAAAAAAAAAAATCTATTTTACTGTTTTCAAATTTTTCATTGAACATATAGAAAAAAGAAGATATACGAAAGGTGAAAATCAAAAGGGACTTGCTCTGATTCTTCATTACACGAAAGGAAGAGAGGGTAAGAAGAAAGATTTTTTACAGTCAGAATTATTTTTAAGCCTAAACAAAATAATGGACTTAGAAAAGGAGAATGAGATATTAAATACATTGTTGATATAGCAAAGGTGATTAATAATGGCACAAAGAAAACATCAATAGAAAAGAGACTGTGTTTAGTAATGACACACAAAAAGACAGAGGGAAGAAGACATTGACTGAAAATAACACAGAAATGACATAGTAAAAATAGACATTATTTGATTATACACAGACATGACATAATAACAATAAAAAGAAACTGGAATTAAAAAAGACACAGAGAAAAAGGCATTGTAGAACAGAGATTAGAAATGACAGAGAGAAAGACACAGTGGAATACATGTAAAATAACAAAGAAAGACATAATGAAGAAATTAAACAGTTATAAAAAATGACACAGTGAAAGATAGAGAAATAAAGACTGTAAACAATACTGAAACGAAGAAAACATAGCATATAAAAAGATAATTGATAATAATTTCTACAATGCCTTTTGTCTGGGTCATTATTTATCACCGTCTCTATTTCTACAAATTATTTCTCTGTGTCATAATTAATAATTTCCCATTTTTCTACAAATTCTTTCTCTCTGTGAGAAACAAATAGTAGAAATAGAGGTACTGAGAAATACTGACACAAAGAAGACATCATAGAAATAGAGGCAATGATAAATAATGGTACAAATAGAGGCAGTGATAAATAATGACACAGAGAAGGCATTGTAGAAATAGAGACACTGATAAATAATGACACAGAGAAAGCATTGTAGAAATAGAGACACTGATAAATAATGACACAGAGAAAGCATTATAGAAATAGAGACACTGATAAATAATGACACAGAGAAAGCATACTAGTATATCAGCATTGAGAGGAAAATTAACAGCATATAATAAAGCAGTTAATACATTTAAGCTACAACCTGGGTAATTTAATGTTTTTTTTTTCCCTTTGACTATTGTTCTTTGATAATGATAATCTTCTTTTATCCAGGCACAGAAGCTGATTTAAGAAATATTCAGAACTTTTTTGAGAAGACGTTAAACTTTGAATGTCATGTGGAACATGACACAACAAAACAAGATTTGATGGAGTTCCTGGAAGAAACAGCGGGACTATTCAACAACAGACGTAAAGCAGCCGACTATTATTGTCTTCTAGTCTTCATAATGAGTCACGGAAACGAGGTTAAATATGCAAAATAAAATTCTGATAACATTGTATATTAAAATGCTGAGTCAAATTCATAACTTTCACTGAAATTTACTGTTTGAAAACTATTTCCTTCATTCATCATGTTCATTGAACGTGAAAGTTTATTGTAATCTCTAGTTTCTTATCAATAAAATTCTTTTTCTTGAGATATGATGAATTAATTCTACACAAACAGAGTCCAAGGCTGCAGGTCTGAGTTATCGATATCTATTGCAGGAGGGAATTTTTACACATGACGAGCAAACCATATCGCTTGACGAAATCGTAGCTTATTTCAAAAATGACAAATTAAAATATTTTGCAGGTAATTTTTTTTTATTTCAAAGAAGAAAAAGACAGCTCTTTAGTTGAGTATGAAAGCAACATGCTATGTACTACATTCATTAATCTGACTTTTGTAGGGAAACCTAAGTGTTTTTTTGTACAGGCCTGTCGCGGGAAATCTCCTCAGGGTACGGTGGATTTGTCTGATGATAAGGAGGAAGTTATGATAGATCAAGTGGTAGGAAAGGTCTCGATACCAACAGATGCTGATCTTCTGATGGCTTACGCTACCACACCAGGTACATGAATATAGTAAAAGAGTTCTATACCTTACTTAAAACGGAGCTGTTTCTCTTGACAATGCTTGCCAAATTTTCGCAAGGTGAGACAAGATTTTCAAGAATTCGAATAAACTCGACGAATGGACCAAAAATAAAACTCAAAAAAGAATAAACAAATAATAAAGATAAAATGTTCTTGAGCAAAAAATCTTGTACAAAGATGCAAAGAAAACGTTCTCGCGAACAAAACCTAATTTACAGTAAATTCAGAATGCTCATTAGAATTATAGAATTATTTGCAAAGAGTTTATGCATTGCACATTATATTTTCTGCCATATTTCATTGTTATTTGTCATAGGTATATCAATTACAAAAATAAATATTTAGATAAGATAAACAATTTTTTGCAAAACTTTTATTCGAATTTTTAAACAAGTTAAAAAATAATCAACCGTTCTTTCAGGCTATTATGCTTGGCGGAGGCCACATCTAGGTTCCTGGTTTTTCCACAACGTGATACAGATTTTTAAGGACAACTATCTGGAGGAACATTTGGAAGACATGCTAATTGACGTGAAGGAGGCCCTGGCGTACGACCCTCAGTGGCAGACCAATGCCGGCCACAAGCAAATGCCGTGTACGTGGTCCACGCTGACCAAACGGTTCTACCTGGCACCGGGTCAGAGTCCCGAATAACGACAGTACTCCAAAGCAATTGCCATAAAAACAATGATGTGTACTAATGGACTAGTTAGTGTATGCATTTTTAAAGTGAACTGAAATAAATTTTAACATACAATATTGAAACTGTTTCAAATTTTATTTGAATTTTTCTATAAGCAACTATCTTTTCAGCTAACTCGAGCTGAAAGCTCAGGTGAGCTTTTCTGATCACCCGTTGTCCGTCGTCCGTCTGTCTAGCTGCCTGTCTGTCCGTCTGAAAACTTTTCACATTTTCAACTGCTTCTCAAGAACCACTGAGCCAATTTTAACCAAACTTGGTACAAAGTATCCTTGGGTGAAGGGGTATTTACCTTATTAAAATAAAGAGTCAAGTTTTGTTCTAAGGGGAGATAATCAAGAAAATACAATACAATGGGGTTGGGTAATTAAAAAAAATCTTCTCAAGAACCACTGGGCAAGAAAAACCGAAACTTATATGGAAGCATCCTTGGGTAGTGTAGATTCTCAATTGTAAAAATCATGACTTTCGGGGGTATGGAGGGGCTACAAAAGGAAACAAATTTTTTTTACATCAAAGTATATGGGGAAAAACTTTACAAATCTTCTTCTCGGGAATAAATGGACTAAAAAAGCTGAAACTTATGTGGAAGCATCCTGGGGTTGTGTAGATTCTAAATTGTTTGAATCATGGTCAATTAGGATTGTCAAGGTCAAGATAGGTAGAAAGGGGGAAATCTGTTAAATGACAGAATGGCAAAAGTTACTCAGGTGAGCGATGTGGCCCATGGTCTTCTTGTTTAGGTAATGATTCATGGTTGGCAGGACATAATAATTCACCGGAAGCATTAATTAGATTTAAACATGTAAAAAGGATTATTTTTTATATTTAAAAAGTCAAATACTCCAGAAGCCTTGTTCCAAAATAAGATAAAAATAATAAGCAATATAAAGTAAAATTTCATTTCTGAAAAAAAATATACAGGATTCATAACTCTGTTATTGTGAAGACGAATTCATTATTCACAAATTAATCAAATGGCTCATAATCGAGAAAAGCAAATGTTGTATTTAGATTACCTCCCCTTTATCAGTGTCTATTCTGTCGCAGTGTCTTTCTATAATGTTTACTATGATATCTTTGTAGCAATGTGCGCTACCGATTGAACCACAGGAACTTTTTAACCACAGAGGCTCGAGTGTTCTCTTCTTCCGCCAGTTTGGGTTAGGGTTATGTCCTAAATACGGCTGAAGTTATGTATTTTATTCTGCTTTGAGAAGCAGCTTTGATATATGGGGTTAACGGATAGCACATATACATTCACTATTAACTAGATTGATAAAAGATGAATAAAATAAGTATTGTTAATAGACAAAACGTCGTCGATGTATTGAAATGCTAGGTTGAAAGCCAAAGCAAATGTTTTTTTCCCATGTTGAAGTTATTGAATAATTCTACTTTATCTGAATACAAAAGTGAACTGATAATAAAATTTTGTTTCAATAAGTTTAATATAACATATCTTTGATATTTCCAACAACCAACATAAATTTAAATTATCATATTTATATTGGATTCAAAAACTTGATAAAAATCCTTACAAGCAAAGATACAGGTTCCAGTAAATCTTCCTCGAAGCCTCTTTCTTTAATCCTCACTAAATGTTAACACTCATGTAGGAGAAGCTGTGGGAGAACTATAAACAACAATATATTTGAAAATTCAAGTCAACAAGATGAATATTGTAGATATTTAAAATTCCAAGGAAATGATGGAATAGTTGAAAGTAAAATTTTAACAATGGTACTTTAATTTTCTTTATCGTCAACTTCCCTTACTTATGCAGTGATATACCTTCATCACACACATACGGATTTTTATACTCAGTTCGATACGCAAGAGCATACTCTATATATGAACAATTTCTAAAACGAATTGAATAATCGACAGACAAATCACGGAAGCAATATTACCAGTCTCGTTAAAGTCATCTTTTAGTAATTTTTATGGTTGATACAATGAATTTGTCAGCATACTTCCCTTTCTAAGAAAGAAATTCTTCAAAATCACCTGTCAGTTTTGAATACTTTTAATATTCCACGGAGCCAAAATGAATTTGAACTACCTTATATATATTGGATTCCGAAACTTCATAAGAATCCTTACAAACAAAGATACATTGTAGGTTCCAGTAAATGTTCAACCAAGCCTCTTTCCTTACTCCTCACCAAAATATTGACAGTTGTGAAGGATAAACTTCAAGAGTACTGTGCAACTATATATTCAAGAAGTGGTGTGAATCAGATGTGGATACTAAAAAATTCTAAAGAACGTTTGGACAATTTGAAATCACAAGACTTTACAAAAATCAACAGCTTAAAAACTTACGACTTTTCAACTTTATACACAACAATTCCCCACGACAAATTATAATCCAAGCTTTTTGATATCATTGACAGCTGCTTCCTCAATAAAAATGGAACTCGTAAATTTACTTACCTCGTCATTGGTCATTTGCAAAATTATTTTGTTAAAACAGATTCTGATTGCACACATAAGTACTCTGAAGTTGACATCAAGAAAATGCTTGAGGTTTTGATTGACAATATCTATGTGGTTTTTGAAGACCAGGTATTCCAACAATCTATTGGAATTCGCATGGGTACAAATTGCGCTCCGTTATTAGCAGACTTATTTTTATATTCATATGAAGCAGAATGTATGCAAAATCCTATGCGTGAAAAGAAGAAAACACTTGCGGTGGCCTTCAACTCGACATTTAGATATATCGACGACGTATTGTCAATTAATAATGGTAATTTCCATTCCTACGTCGATACGATATATCCTGGTGAGCTTGAGATAAAAGATACCACAGAGTCTGACACCTTTTCATACTTGGATATTTTACTTGAAAAAGACATAATGGTAATCTAATAACCAAGCTATATGATAAACCAATCTGATTAAAATCAGATCCTTTGATCCGCTCACATAGATCGCTAGACAAGGTGTATCGATCTATGTGAGCGGATCAAAGGATCTGATTTTAATCAGATTGATGATAAACGTGATGACTTTAACTTTTCTATAGTTAACTTCCCTTACTTATGCAGCAATATACCTTCATCACCTGCATACAGAGTATATATCTCAGTTGATTCGATACGCAAGAGCTTGCTCTACATATGAACAATTTCTAAAACGAGGTAAATTATTGACAAGCAAGTTCATGAAACAAGAATATCAGCTGTCTCGTTTAAAGTCATCATTTCGTAAGTTCTAAGGTCGATACAATGACCTTGTCAGCAAATACAATTTATCATTGAGTGAAATGCTGACTGACGTTTTTCATACCAATTGTTAGTCCATTATTTATACAATGAATTGACGACGGATTTTTTCCGTTATTTCCCGATTATGACAACGAGCACACGGCGGGTGTGATCGATCGGCGGAAGAGGCTCACTTCTTCATGGTACCTGATGCCACCTCTGATGTTTTTGGAGGTCCGTTTTTGCTCTGCTAGAAATTTATATTGTTTAATGGACTTTTGATCTTTAATTTTGTTCATTACCTTTATATATTTCATTAGAACTAAAAAATCAGCTTATATTTTCTAAACTTTTATTAAGAAAAATGTTAAACTGATTTGTAATTTACGAGCTTACGAAATCAATTTTACTTTTCCTTTCATACTGAATAACAGCGCTTGGACTTAACAGCTTACAAATGCTTTTGATGAATATTGATAAATTTTTCCTTACTTTATACGGTCATTCCATAATGCTTCAACAAAACGCTAAAAATTCTTGATTTTTAGAGAAATTGATGCGATTGTAATTTCTATAAATGGTATTTATTAAAATCTTTTTACAAAGGTTAAAATTGTCTTCATTCAACTCACTTAATTAAGTAATGTGTGATAAATGATGCCCTTTTCTCATCAAATGTTTTAATTAACTAAATCGACAGCGATGAGGAAGAGGAAAACTAATATTGAAGTATCATCGATGACCCCTTCCTTATTTACATATAGCAATGGCATAATTGATCGTGAAAATGTAAAAATGGAATCTATAAACGATCTATTGCGTGTCGTGTTTCTTTAATGTTGCTTTAACAGGTCGGAGAGAATACTCGAAATCGGGTATTATCCGTGAAATCGCGTATAATACTCGATATTAGGGTATCGTTGAATCCGCGAAATCGGGTATAGGAGGTGTAAACACCTAATAAAACTTAAAGAATGGGGTGGCGCATGTTGCCGAGTTAACTTTCATCTAGATACACGTTTTCTAAAGATATCACTAGCCAAGTAAGAATTTGGGCGTCAAGATTAATGCGCTCGGGACAACAAATACCCGTGGAGCTCATAACATTTCATGATCTGCCCACAAAAAGGCGTTCGATTTGCTTTATATTTTACCTTATGTTGAAAGTATATGCATCTTCCTAATGTTCATTCCCAACACAACAGAATTGTAAAGTATCAGAATTCAGGAATTTATAATAATTCCACATCAACACGACAAACATGAACAATTTGTAAATAAATCAAATTATACGGAAACACATTTCACACACCAGATATGATGCCATGTATAAACAAGAGATTGTCTATCCTATCTAATTAATTTATGCGTCATTAATTACTTTCACATTCATCTTGTGCATAAAATCAAATTTATTTTTGAATGTATAAATAATGTAATGATAAAAATGTCTAAAATTTCGGCTAAAAGAACCCTCTTTCTCTTTTTTTTGAAAATCTTCTCTTTTTTTATTTATCATTCAAACATATTTGCAGAATATGTCTTCAAAATTTTAGCAGAGACAGTGATAGTTTCAGGAATACAATTTATGAGAGAACATAACTGTTGATCGTTTAATTTCGCTAAGTCATCAATATTTTACCATTTCCTGGCGACTTCAAAAAGGGGGGGGGGGGCTAAAGGCTTCTTGACCACCTCTGACAAAACAACCTCGACTGTGTTATACATGTGTCTAAGAGACCTCTCTTTGAATGTCACGGTCGGTTAAACTCGGTCATATATTTTTAATAGTAAGGAAGAGTGGGGGGGGGGGTTCGAACTTTAGTACCTAAATTTTTCTCCAA